GAGAAAATAGTGGAATCCTTTGGGGTCAACTGGCATCTCTGCAAGATCTGCCTGATGTATTGCATTTGGTTTCCATACAATTACCTTTGGGCGTTCTGTTGACTTTTCCTTTAGGGGCTTTTTGTATAGGTTGTAGTGCTCTTCACCTTTTAGAATTCGTGCTGATACTCCGGAGAGATTGTAGTACTTATAGTAATTCTCTAAGTGTGACATATTACGACAAATTAAAGGAATGGTTTTAGACTTCAAATCTTAATATGACACGTTTTTACTGCTTAAAGTGCAAGAAGGAAACTGAGACGGCTAGTGAAATACAAGATATGACTACAAATGGGCGTTACCGGCTGCATGGTGACTGCACAATTTGTGGTATGCATAAGAATACTTTTACTGGAATAGACTGGGTAATCAAAAAGAAGACTAAGGAGAAAAAGAAAGAAACCGCTGCTAAGAGACATCAGACGGTTTACAATCGGCAATGCAAAAAACTTAAACAGAAAATCTTAGATTCTGATGACACGTGTAAACAGTGTATTGATAAATGCCTTAAGGAGGCAAAAAAGAGGAAGACGGATTTGTACTGCCTTCTAAAAGTATTCTTTATCATCTGAATCGTCTTGGTATACCCATTGTTCAATTACTTATTTTTTCTGACGGGGGCTGAACGGAGTTAGTCTTACTGGCTCTATAGACCTTCTAGGGGCTTACCTGCTAACTAACCTGGTTTGCTATCTCACTGCTTCCAACAGATTATTAGACGGAATCCTGACTTGTTCCAGATGTTCCAGATGTAGCGAATCTGGAGGGGTAAAAATAAAACTTTTTCTGGGGGGATGTCCTCTCATATTTTTTCTGAAACATCTGCTACATCTGCCACATCCGGGACAACCCTCTCATTATATCCGTTTTTGCTTCCTTTTCTATTATTTTCTAGTTATTTGGTATATATACTTGTTCCAGATGTTGTCCCAGATTGTGGCGAATATATGGGGATTCCTGAGCCCCGTAGGGGCCATATAGGTACTGCGACAGGTCGTAGACCCAGAGGTGGGTGGTACTTGCACCTTCCACATCCAGCCCGATGACTAGTTTTTTACAAAGATAAACTCGAAGATGATTATAAAAAAGCTACTGTTCGTAACTTTCCTTTTGATTTTGATATACTACCTTTTACAATTGACATTAAACCACTTTCATTGAAGAGACAGGAGGAATTGTATAAAGAAATCGCACCTTATGTTGATACACCCTTTCGTGATATTACTTGTCCTAAGCCAAAGGAACACGAAACAAATTAAGTTAAATTATTGTAATTATATTCAAAATTCTACAATAATCAAATAAAATAAGACTATTTTTTTGCTTACTTATTGTTACTGATATTGCCATTTTATAATTATTATTTTTTTAAATACTTCCAAACGTTAAAATCTCAAAAAAATAAAGATTTTGGAATGTCCATTTTTTACAAAATAATTTCTAATTTTTTTAAAAAGTATGTATTATATAAACTTTATTATCAAATAAAAAAAAAGTGCACCAAAAGAAGGAAATGGAAGCTTAGTGTTTCAATTATATACCTGCAAAATTTCGTTCTATGTTATAAAGACCGTTTTTGAAAAAAATGTTTTTTTTTCGCAATGATCGTCAAAATTGATTGGTTAACTTAAACCTTGATTTTCTCGAAATCACATGATTGATGTAACCCCAGCTTTTGCTGTGCGGGTCTCCATATAGACTAGTATTCACCTGTTAACTACGTTAATAGTTAGGGGTAAATCTGCTTACAATCTGTATAACAATTCCGTATATTTATAGTAATACGCACTTTTCAATTTTATTATTTAACAATTCTTAAAAAAAAAAATTATTTTTTATTTATTTTTTGGGTTTTGCTAAAGATCACCAGTGGTGATTTTCACTATACGTAAATTTTATTGGTTAATTTTTTGCATTATGACACAATTTTTATTTTTTAGTGATGGTTCTTTTATTTTTTGCCTAATAACATAAAGATCAATAAAAACGCAAAAATTAAGGATAAGGTTAAAGGGTAATCACATCCCAAAGATAAAGAATACAAAGATCAATAAAAAATGCGAAAATTAAGGATAAGATCAAAGGGTAATTACATCCCAAAGATAAGAACACAAAGATCAATAAAAAACGTGAAAATCAAGGATAAGATCAAAGGGTAACCACATCCCAAAGATAAAGAACACAAAGATCAATAAAAAAATGCGAAAATTGAGGATAAGATCAAGGTAATCACATCTCAAAAATAAAGAACACAAAGATCAATAAAAAACGTGAAAATTAAGGATAAGATCAAGGTAATCACATCCCAAAAATAAAGAACACAACACAGGTTGAATTCTTGATAATCGGGTATCAATCGGTCACATGTTGAATGATGACTGGCTGATAATATATTGATGACCGATTGATGACATTTGGCCAAATGGCATCAATCGACTATCTAATTTCAACCGACCATTGACCAACCACATACCTATTAATACCTTATTTCTGCATAGTTGATTACCAATTAATGAAATGTGATTGACCGGTCATCAACCGGACACATGTCCGGTTGATGACAGATTTGAAGTTAGATAGCCGATTGATACTATATCAACAAGCGGCCATCAACCAGTCATTGGCTAGCATGTGACCAATTGATTGCAGGTTGAAATATAAAAAAATCAGTCACCAATCGGTCATGGTTTGGATCAACAATTTATTATTTAGAAAAATTTATGATGATACATTTAAAAAATGATACTGACATCAGGTGAGCACCAAACCGACATACACGATTTTATATAACATATAAAAGGAATAAAAAGGGGGGATTAAAAACAACCCTAATGGATTGTGGCGGTCTATTAACCATGGTGAGGTGTATATGGCAGAGACTACAGCAATGGCTTGTCCCTTAGGTCGTCTGAAGATGCATGACCTCTACCAATTAACACCACATACCTTACTTTCAGGTGTCCAAGAAAACAAAAAAAAAAAATTAAATAAAATAATTAAAGAAAGTGGAGTCTTTATATATTATTTTTTGTGATATAAATCACATGAATAAACATACATGGGTATCAAGACATGGGTATCATACGTGGAATTTGGACTTTATGTTGCTTATTGGACTTTACCGATTGATGATATTGCCGATTAGTATAGGTTTTAACGTGGGTTTGAATTAGTTGTAAAAATATGTCATACGTTTGACTATTTTTATTTTTATTTTTTACGGATGCAAAAACTTATTGAAACTTCTTCTACCACATCAGTAAAACTTCATCTTCAAAATTATCTTTTGGACTTCAAGTAGTTTATTACTAGTACCAATTCGCAAAAAAATTAACATTTCAAAAAATCAATCATCAATTTCCAAATAATTATCATCAGAATGTTGATTAATAATTCAGTTATCGCTACTAGTTAACATAACTTCCCCTACCTCTTTTTCTTCTTTCTCCACCTCTTCTTCATTGTAAATTCTTGATAAAATAGATAAACCATTATCAACCAATTCATTATTTGGATCTGGCTGTTTTGGTTGTTCTGGCTGCTGGTATCGGTAAAGGCGCTGAAACTTTATTTTCACTAAAATTATTGGATCGATAATTCTTTCACGTTTTTTCTTATGATTTGGCCATTCTGCTCTCAGTCGGTCGATATAATCGCATAGCAATGAACGTAGCTTAATTAAAAATAAAGAAATACTCACAGTTGATGATCCTCATTTTAGATCTTTTATATCAATTTTATTATTTTCAGTTTTAGAATCAGTTTCTGATTCTTCAGACGAATGATACAAATAATTGACTGTAAATCAAACTTTTTGATTAAAGGATCTTCTATAAGTTGTAAATGTTTGATTGTCTTTGCACGCTTATTTCTTTTCTGTTTTAGATAAGAAGTTAGTATTAAAGCAAATATTTATAATGTACCAAACTTTTTACTCACATCATAATGTCGAGAATTTGATGTTTTCTTTTTCTTTGAAATTTTTTTTCAAAAAGTGGAAGGTTCTTTTTAAGATACTCTTCACGGCGATGACGATGGAGAGAAGAAAGTATATTATAAATTATTTCGTCAGTAACAGGAAAAACATTATTGTTAATATTATTCATTATACTAGGTATAATAGAACTATTAACGAGCTCTCGCTGCTGAATGAAAGTTTGTCTTAAATCTATTCGTTGGCTTTCCGGCAGGGCATTGTAATGCCGAATAACTTCCTTCTATATGAAATTAATAATGCCAGTTAATAAATATATAAATATTAGCAATTAATAGTCATTTCCGTCAAAATGAATCAGATCGAATATCCTTATTTACCCTTAAAGCCTCGTCAAGTTCTTTTAGCATGTAAGGTTGCTTGCCAAAACTAGAGGGTTTTGGCAGAATGGCGTACGTGAAACTGCCGAAACTAGTTTCGCGAAATCATCAAGAAATGCCAAAACTGCAAAATCTATCAAAATCGCGAAACTGCCGTAACTTGCCGAAACTGTTTCAACGTTTCGGCAATACTTTCTATATGATTTAATTAGAGTTTCGGCATTTAAATAATTTATAAGAATAAAAACAATATATTTTTTGTATGTAAATATTTATTTTATAATATTTAATATTAAACTAATAAAATATACGATTAAAAATATAATAAAAATTAAAATTTAATATCTCTATCTTCTATGTGGCGACCTGCTTCTTCCTCTTTTTCTATCTCTACTTCTGTCCCGTCTTCTATCTCTACTTCTATCTCGTCTTCTATCTCTACTTCTATCTCGTCTTCTATCTCTACTTTTTGATCTACTTTTTGATCGAGACCTAGATCGCGACCTTCTTCTTTCCCTTCGCAATCTATATTCATATCGACGTCGATCATGCGCAGCATGCTGCCGTCGATACTCTTGTCTAAACAGATCTAAAATCCAATAAAAATATTAATGAATTGAATGAATTGCCTAAATAAAATTAATTTAAAATAATAATTAATAATAATTACCGGTTTGTAACCAGAATTCATCGTTCATATCAGCAAAACACGCTCTATCGAAACTATTTGGGCTTATAATAGGAATGTCGTCATCATTATTATTTATTATCCTACTGAGGTTTTCATAACCTCGTTTGAGGGCATTCCATTTTGTATAGCACTGCCTGGGTGTCGCTGCAAATCCCGTTGCAACGAACACCCTATTTGCTATTATTGTCTATGCATTTACATGATGACGGTTTGCAATTCTTTCGAATTGCTGGTGCAAGTTTCTTTGCTCCGCGATTAATTGCCTAGCTGCGTTAATCGTCCATTGGAATACTGGTGGTGGTGATAGAACAAAAGGTACTAATGCTGCCATTTTTTATTTTTATAATTTTTTCGTAACAAAAATTAAAATACAATTTGGTTTTAAATTGCGAAAAAAAAATCCTATATACTTCAAATTTCATAATATTTATACTAATTTTAAAATTTGTTATAACTTATAATATTTAAAACATGAACTGATGAACATAATAACATTCTACATAATTAAAATATTTGTAATAAAATAAACACAGTTTTGATTCTAATGTAATAAATTTAATTAACGCAGTTCTAAATTTTTTTTTGTAACGCAGTTTTTAAAATTTATTGATCTAATGTAATAAATTTAATTAACGAAGCCCTTAAAACTTATTGATTCTAATATAATTGTTTATCCTTATTCCTTAATTAAATTGCACTATTTTTAAAATATAATATGCTTATCCTTATTCCTTAATTAAATTACAATGTTTAAAATATAATATAAAATTACAATTCCTGCATAATTATATGTTAACTGGACTTTGATCGCGAATATTTTGCCCTGCATAATTACATCATTTATTTCCTAAATAGTATCATTATTTAAATCACATGATATTAGAATTAATTCTTATTGGATTAACTATTGTAATTATTTCTCATTATTATCATTCCTTATTATCATCATAATTATCGTCATTATTATCACCGTCATCCATAATTCCATACCTAATACATCATCTATATCATAATCATAGTCACCTTCTCCAGGTCTCTTGTTATTACCACTATCATCAACTTCATCATCTTCTGCATTATTTTCATTTGAATCATCCAATATATTTCTTGGAATATCGCCGATTTCACTAGTAATTGAATCATGCGATAAATTAACAAATTGATCAATCCATAGACTTTCTATTACTACATGGCAATTGTTTTCGGGTATTGTTTCGCCGCTTGTAGTTAATCTCTGAGTAGAAGCTTGCTCCTCATTATATTCCTCATCGTCATCTTCTGCAAAAGCTTCTGCAATATGTATATTGATTTTATCATCACTAAGATGAGTATTCTTTTTTTGATCAATTCCATAAAATCCAAGTTCATTTTTTGAATTGGATTTCCAATACAAAATTAATTTGCACATGGATTCTAGTTTATCCACATTAAGATTTAAGCGACGTTTATGAAATAGCCATCTTAAAGTCGAAAATCCACGTTCACAAGTTGCTGAGTTAGGACATATTGCAAATAGATAACTTGCAATTCTTGGCAGGACATCTGATTCTGGTTCGGTATTAATATATTTTCACCAATTCACGGGATTATATTTAGCAAAACTGATATCTAGGTCAAATAGCTCTTGCTCATTAATATATTTCTGTATTTGATCACATAAAGTTTCAGCTTCGTAACGGTTGAAACCTAAATTTTTCCCGATTGAAGCTGCACATTTGATAATTCTCATGAGGGCGCATTTTTTAAGTGGCGCGTTTCTAAATCTGGGATCCATAAAAAAACAAGTAATATACTTATCATCATCGAACTCATCAAATCTTTCATTTATTACTTTGATACAATGACTTCGGAATGCAGGATTTAATGATTTGGTTAACTTTTTTAATTTAGTTTCAAGTCTTGCCAAGCTCTGGAAACAATCTGCAAGTGTAGCTCTTCTCGATTCTAATGAAAGTACCGCTTTTCTTAGAGGATCCAGAACAAATCCAAGAACTCGTAAATTTGAAAAAAATTTCTCGATTGAATAATCGGTTTTATTTTATCATTTGTTAGCACTTTATCATGATCGCTGGCCATTTCTTCTAGTGCTGATTTCAAATTTATTACTGAATTTACGGATTCACTAGCAGTAGTTCAGCGTGTCTTGCAATATAATTTTAATCCTCCTCCACTAATTCCTTTTTCTTTAATTATTTGAGCAAGTTTTGCATTAGCCTGATGAGAACTTCTAAAAAAGGTTGTCAAAATATTAACACGTTTTAATAAACGTTCCCCAAACTTCTCCTTGACGATGTCGCATGCAATTAAATTGATAGAATGTGCAACGCATCGCACATTCTCAATCTTTGGATGATTCTCATGTATAATTTTTCGTGCATTACGAACATTGGCCGCATTATCGGAAACTACAGCACATATTCGATCTTCTCCAATACCTTCTATAACCTTTTCAATTACCGTAACTAGATATTCTGCAGTGTGCGAATTTTCAGACAAATCAGAAAGTTGATAAAGATATTCTTTACGCGACGGAGTCATTACAATGAAGTTCCAAATTGAACGATGTGTACTAGACGTCCAACCATTAAAGGCTAAATTATAAATTAATATTATATAGTAAGTAAGATTAAATAAAAATCACGTATGATAGCCTATTTAATTTAACAAACCTAACGTTAAATTCATTTCCTTTTCAAGCTCAGAATTAACTTTGAAGTTCACTTGAGCTAATTCACTTTCAAGTAGTTGATTTACTAATACTTCCCTTGTTGGTGTATTGTACTCGGCATTAAGCTCTTTTATAAAATTGATAAAAAAAAGATGTTCCACTACTCTAAACGCAATTCCGCACGCAATAAAAAATTTAACTAATGCACGATTAATTCGTGTACATCTTTGTTCATTAAGTTCTGTTGAATAATGGTAATCATCCATGTTACTTTGACCTTCAGAGTATTTTCTTTTTTTGGATGATTTGGACTTATCTTGCCGTTCCATTACTTTACTCATATACCTTCTAACAACTGCTGCTGGCGCATCTGGACAATGGTTTGAAAGATGCTCTTTTAGCTTTGAAACTTCACCGCGTGACCATGTATTCTTACATTACTTGCAGGAGGCGGCAAATTTGCCAGAACCAACAGCTTCTCCTTTATTAATATCTTCCCAAATACTATTAGGTGGCCGACCTCCTCTATTTTTCTTTTTAATGGGTGAATCTTCTATGTGATCAGTCATTTGAAACAGTTTATTATCAATTTTATTATTAAGAAAACAGAAGAAAGTAAAAGAAACTTTAGTTCAGTGTTAAAGGAGATGACGGAATTGGGTTTATTAAATGCATGTTACGCATTTTCCTTTAATGAATATAAGCCCCTTAAAAAAAACTGCAAAAACGTGTAATATCATAATATTAATATGGAAGTTAGAAATAAAAATTCTAACACTAGATAAAGCTTAAAAGAACTAAGACGATGGTAAAATATTGAAGTTTAATCTTTTATCTGTAAATTATTTGATCATCTAAATTATATTATTAATTGGTGTAACTTGGCGTAACTATATGCAAATCTTATGATCAATTATGCCGAAACTACGGAGAAACCTATTATTGAGGTTTCAGCATGTTTCGGCAGTTTCGCAATTTTGACAGGTTTCGCAGTTTTGGCGTTTCGGTGTTTCAGCATTATATAAGAGGTTTCACCTTTCGGCATTAGGCCAAACAGGTTTCGGCAAGTAACCTTATTGGTAGTGCTCCGAAAAAATCTGATCTGATCAGATTTGATCCAAATCTGATCCGTCAGACTCGGATCAGATTAATTGTATTTGATCTGCAATTCAGATTCAGATCAAAAAATTTTTGATCTGAACAGATCGGACTAGCTTCAAATCAAATCTGATCATGTCAGATTAGATTCGGATCAGACTTACTTAAATCTAAATCTGTTCAGATCAGATCTGACAGATCTGATTCAGATCTCGGATTTGGCTTTTGTGACTTTTATTTCTGGCCACGGGCTCCACCTAATATATCAGGTTTTTTTTTTTCGTCTAAACACCAACTTTTTTTAAAAAGAAATTTTATATATTGTTTTTTTATTAGTCCGGAGTGTAGTTATATTGGTATTTTTAAAAAAATATATATTGTTTTTTTTATTTTTCCTTTGCAGTTTCTCTCCATTCGTTAAAAAATTTTCTTAAAAAAAATATATTTTTTTTCGGGTTTCTCTTTATTCCTTAAAAAAGTTTTATTTTTTTCCTTTTACTTTAATTTTGTTTTTTCTTTTTGCAATTCCCTCCATTCGTTAAAAAATTTTTTAAAAAAATATTTTTTTTTCTTATTTTTTTTTTCGTTTTATTTTTTTCTCTCATCATCAGTATTAAAAAAATATATATATACATATATTTTATTTTATTTTTTTTCCTTTGCAGTTCCTTTCTTAAAAAAATATATATTTTTTTTCTTTTTAATTTCGTTTTTCCCTTTACAATTCCCTCCATTCGTTAAAAAATTTAAAAAAAATTTTTTTTTTTTATTTTTTTTTC